TAGACATCCGTCCCATGCAGAAGACAAATAAAATCAGTCACTATAGTAACTGAAGTAAATGTTAATCACGCTAAATATAGTTCTCCTCTGGCACTGCGCTATGTAAAAATAACTTGTATGTCAGGTCCCTACCTTTCTGGGTGCTGCCCTGTCTGATTCCTGCACTGACCAAGACTGGGCTGCTGCTTATTGCCATGAACTCTGCAGAATAACTCCAGAGGGAGCTCTGGCCGTCCCTTCTCGCATGTGACCAGTAAAACCAAATTTTCTTGGGCGTTACCTCGCTGCATCTCCTGCAGGTCTTCATCCTTCTCCCAAAGGACTTCTGCTTGTTCTGCTTCTGATGTGGGACCTAGGTCTTTTAAAGCTAAGCTGGTATTTGTTTAATTCAAGGTGAGGAAGAATGTGACTGAGAACTGACTTGCTTAAAATTAAGTTTCAGACTATGGCCCTGAAGCAAGCCCTCGCGTAGTTGGTGAGAAAATCCCTTTGACTGAGGACACTTTAGCTCAGGTACCGTGTTTCCTCCTAAAACAGAGTCAACACTCAATCCAGATATTAAAAAGGAGAGAGTATTCAAAAGGTGTTTCTCTAATAACAATGTGGTTTCTGTCTCTGGTGGGTGACATCTATGTGTGTCCCACGGGTCAGCGCAAGGCTCGTTGGTGTGCGTGCTGCCAAGGTGGTGGCTGCGCTGCAGACACCTGCTATAACCATCCTTTGTTATTCTTGCCTGATGCTGAGAAGGGAGATCGCTAAAGAAAGTGGGACTACTTGGAATTGCTTGATATTAATTTCCTCTTGTATAGGTTCAGCTTGGCCCTAAACTTGATTCTTAGATTTACATCCAAATACTATGCAGTCTCTCTTGGGTTGTCCTAGGGATTTACTAGGGTTTGGTTCTGAAATGCTTAATTTCAAAGCTACGTAGCATTTCCATATCACAAAAAAAAAAAAAAAAAAAAAAGAAAAACAAATAAAAGGATGCAAAATAGTGCAAGGAGCAAATTTTCAGTCTTATAGTCTTAATTTTAGCTATTTTTCAGATGCTGGAGGTGCTGAAGAGCAGATAAGAGAAGCTGAATGCCTGACTGTTTTTTGAACACCCCACAGCACTGCTTGGTACACTGCTACGATGCTTAGTTTTGAAAAAATCTGGGTAAATCGTTATGAAATGATGTGCTCTTTTAATGACAGCCGTTGCAGATAGCAAATTTAATTGCTGAAATGAAATGATGAGCTGCTTATAAACATCAGGAAGTATAGGGCTGTACACTGCTTGAAACAAATGGGAGCTGTACCTCCTTCTCACGGCGAGGAATCTTACCCTTCACTTCACAGGTGTAAGTTGTAACCTGTTTGGGTTTTTTTTGTTTGGTGTTGTGGTTGTTGGTTTGGTTTGGTTTTTTTGTTAAATAAAATTGATATCACATCGATTATATTATCCTGCAAATTGGTTACAGTATCCCAAATGCAGCATAAATAAAGTGTGGCCACCATCTCTCTGGTGCCGTGTATGGGGAATTGCGTGGAAGCTGTGGCGGTGACTGACGTGCCTGAACACTGACGTGCAGAGCTGGCTTTCCTCGTGCTGCTCCAACGTAAAACTGCCGTCCCCAGCAGGACAGCGCAGCCTGCAGCCGGCCAGTTAAACCACTCGGGTCGGCAGCGTTGGAAGCCCAGCACGGCCCTTTCCGTGTGCTTGAAAACCGTGAAGGGCAAAGCAGGCACGCTTAAAAATCAATCTGCGTGGTCACTGGACTATGAGCTTCGTGTGTTTTCTGCTGAAGGGGTGTGTGCACAGCAAAACCTTTCTGTAGCTCTCATTAAAAAAAAGAAAACCAAACCCAACGCTTGGATCTGCTCTTAACCTGGCTCGTACCCGCCTGAGCCGACCAGTGCTGCTCGTTCCGTACCCATGCGCTACCTCCTCCTATTGCAAGGCCAAATACGGTTTTCTATGGTAGGCTAAATTAATGATAAGTGTAGACAGAGAAAGCTGACTCCTCTTCTGAAAGTGGATTTTTGTTGTTGCTGTTACTGCACCCGACAATGGGAATTTATTTTTGCCTCATCTTTCCCAAAAGTCCTCCCCTGGGAAGAAAGCTGAAGCCTCCCGAATGTTTAGGATGGATTAGAAACATTCAGGGGCTATAATATTTTTCAGGTGTTCTTTCCGGAGCACGTTGAGTGGCGGCAATCCCGTTTCTCAAGCTGCTATTGCTACTGTGAAATTCAGCCTCGAGTCCTCTGTCCAAACCGCGTACCTGTCAAAGCGCAGAGAGACCGAAGTGCTCCACTCGCACAGAGGCAATAAGGCTGGCAAGGTACAGCACGGGGGTGTTTTTATTTATAGCTCCAACATCCTGCATGTTTCCAAACAGTGCAGTGACAAGCCACTTGCTGGAGCAGAGCTGCAGGTGGTGTTTGCCACAGGTTACAGGGTTAATGGAACAGAAACTAACAATTTGTGTTGAAAATGTAAAATATTTATCACAAGCTACACACTATTTAACACCTCAAAGACGCGTACCAAAGCCAAATTTGTATACTCTGAGACGGAACAGATTCTTGCATATACTAAAATCACCAGTCACATAGTGGCAAAATTAATATCAATGTAGAAATACATACTGAAATTTAATAATCCACCTAAAGACGATATCAAGGTAAGGAAAAGAAGAATTGAAAAATTCCTGGTGTGCTTTGTAATCTAAAAATTAACAAACCACCCTTTAAAAGTGTGTGCTTGGGAATGAATAATTGAAGTGTATTCATTTGCAATAAGTGCATCTGTTGCTTTGATTTCATCCACTAATGTAACCTCAGCAAACGCCTCACTTCATGGGTTCGGCTTCTGCATTTGGAAACATTTGGTGTTATTTAGGTTATTACTACAGTTGGGGCTTAAGGAGGAAAAAAAAGAAATAGGTTGTGCAGTAACGCATGAGGATGAGAAGGCTTCTGGTAACATTGCAAAGAAAAAATAAACCCGCATCCCTGGAATGAAAAGGCAGCTTAGAGTCACCTGTAAAACCCAATAATATCTATTTGAAACGGGGGCTGTCGTAGGGATGTGCACAGCGTGCTCCGTGGCGGTGGGGAGATGGAGACCAGCCCGAAGGAGGCGGTGGGGCTGTGCTGTGCCCTGCGGCTGGAGAAAGCCCTCGGCCTCCGAGCGGGCGCGCGAGGGGCTTCGGTGTTTGGTGGTAAAACCAAAGGTTGAAGAGCTTTGGACAGGAATGACTCTTGGCTGATTCGAGTGGGTTTGGCAGGCTCAGCGGGGCAGGCGGGGGTGCGGGGGCTCGCACCCTCCTGGGGGGCTGTCGGGAGCAGCACGGGCTGCTCGGGGAATCTACTGAGCCTGCGAAGGTTTTGCGGCAGTTGTTTCTCAGTACTGCTCTCTCTTAAATGCAATATGCGGTTTTAAGATTGTCGATAGTCTGATCTGGTTTTACTTCCAGGAAAGGATTGCAGGCAGGTTCCTGCATCCTCCCTTCCGCGCAGCTGCAGGTGGGGGCTGTGCTGGAGTCCACAGCGGTTCGCTTATTCCCAAACGTGATGCATGTCCTTATGTATAGGGAAGGATCTAACATGGGCAATTTGAAATGGATCCAGCTCATGCAGAGAGAAAAAAAATCCAATTACCTTTTTCTCCCACATTACTCATTCACCCAGACCCCTGCGTTTCCCGGTTCTGGCTTGCTAATGCAAGGTAATTAAAGCGCTGCGATGCCGGCTTTTGATAGCTACCGTGGCAGTGGTGTGGATGTACGTCAGTGTGAAGCTCATCTGAAAGATGGCATTTCCCTGGATGGCATTTCCCTCTAGTTTGGGATTTGAAAGGTAATCCTCCACAGAATCTTGCTATTTCACGTTTTCCTTCCTAGTCGAGATGACAAATATTGTCAAAATATTGGGATTGTGCTCAGACTTAATGAGGGAGAAGGTTGTTCTGTGTTTGTTTGTTTTTAATCCCTCCTCCAGCTGTACTGCTGAGGCTTTCCAACACTTTTCTGTTTGTAGAAGATACCGTCTGTCACTTCAGTTCCCAGAGATGGTCCAGGAGGAAGATCCCGTAGAAGGTCCCCAACCAGCTTTCCTGCTGGGGTCACTGGGACTATTCTGGGTAAAAATATGCTGTAGCCGCTACTGCTCGATGCCGCAGGGTTTCACCTGGTGTCAGTGAGTGCAGCTGCACCGCTGACAGCCTGCACTGACTGTCTTGGCCCTTTGGGCTCCACAAATCCTTGGGTAGCTGTATTTCTCAAAAGGGCTGGACTCACTCTTGCTTTTGTCTTAACGCTTACAAGCCAGCAGATTTGTAAAAATAATAGAAAAATTAAAAAAAAAAAATCCCTAAAATACTTGGTTTCTCAAGCTTCAGCTGCAGTTTCTATGCTTTGAAACACATCCAATATATGCACTTTAACTTTTAGTAGAGCTTTAATTCGTAACTCCAGTTCTTCATAATCTGTTCAGGTTTGTACTCAAAAGCCAAGTGAGACTTTTAAGGTACAGTATAATCCAAACCAGAGAAAAAACATCTGCAAGCTGATAGTTTTTTCTCCTGGAGAATAACCTGTTGGCTTCCCCGCTTCAGGTGTGGGTTGTTTCTTGGAGCTGTTCTGCAGCAAAGTGCTCCGGGTCTCTTGTCTTCTTGTTGTTGGGTTTGAGGGTTTGGGTTTGGCTGGTTTTTGGCAGAAAGTCTTTAGAATATTTTATTTTATTTTATTTTATTTTATTTAAACGTTTTTCTAGAAGCATCTGTGGGGTTTTTTATGTTGTTTTCTTCCAAAAGTCCCATAAAACTCGCGGCATTTGATTAGGCAGGAGTCTTTGAGAAGCAGGGAAATGGCTTATTGGTGAAGCCAACCTCTGGGGAAGCAGACAGGCAAGTTTTCATGGGAAACAAAGCCACCGGCTGAGGTTATTTGGCAAAACTCTCACCTCTGGACTCACACTCCCCCCACACAGCGGCGTTAGGCGGGCAGCCTGGCTCAAGCGCTGTGGTGAGCCACCAGCACGGCTCTTGGAGCTGGTGGGGTGTCTCGCGGAGGCGGGTGCGGGCTGTCGGCCGAGGGCTGCCCGGCCGAGGCAGCCGCCGCAGCACCGGTGTCGCCCTGTGCCCGCTGCAGCGCACGGCAGGACCGGGAGGAGGACTTGTTGCTGGAATTCACGGTTGCTTTGTTGCATCTCAGAAGCGCCAAAAAGCACCTGTAAAACTATTGCACACAGGTAGAGAACAGCAAGTTAGCAGGAATTTCATTCATTTGCCTAATTGTAAGACAGGCTTCGGCTGATGGCCTTTCTATGTTCATTTCAGTTCCTGGAACGGTGCTGAAAAAAGCATGGATGTAATAATATCTTTTTATTAGAAATTGGATTGTTTTGTAGCAAAAAATATGTCCTTGCGCTAAGTGGGAGCTCATGCTGAGGTCAAGGTGTCTATAAGCTAAGGTGGGATGGGGTCCCAGGTAGCAGGAGCTGGGGGAAAGAGGTGCCTGCCTTTTTCCTTCATCTGGGCACACAAACTGGGCTCATCGATGCAAAAAAAGAACAAAACCAAGGAAAATAAAAGAAGTCGTTTTGGCCAGTGTTTCATGAAGAAGGCAACGTTAGCACCACGGCAATATTTCAGCACTACAGGGGACAGGTGAAGTGGTAAAATCCAGATGGGGCATTTTGCTTGCTTGCAGATTGGGTGCTGTATTTAGTTAGGGGCAGTTGGGTTTTTAAGTCCATTTTTTTAGATCAATTTACATTTTCATTGTCCCTTGATTGAAAAGTAGTAGGGAGGGCTCGTAACAATTGTCCTGAGGTTTTATTTAATACAAATATTATCGACTGCACAGCAATACAGAGAACAGAAATGAGTAAATGCTTTTCAGCCCATTTTCAGGTTTGTAGGAGCCTCTTACTTGATTGTGCTGACCCCACGCACAGATGTAAATGCCGTCGGTGCGCTGTGGGGAGGAGGTTTCGGGGAGCTCATGCTAGCCTGCAGCCAGGTTATCAATATATCCCCTTACTAAAAGCATGGTAGGGGTTGAGCTCATTGAATGCATGAAATGTTGGCTGGTTTGATTTGTATTTGACTGGGGAAAAGATGAAAAGTTGTATAATATGCTTGGCTTAAGCTCTCAGGTGGGGATGGTTTGACAGCCATTATGTGAGGGGTTTTTATTCCAGTTGCATGGCAAACTGGTGCATCTGAGAGTGGGGGGGAGGCTCTTGCATGAAGTTCAGGAAACTGCCTGTAGCAGAAGAAATATGTATTTTAGATCTTATGGATTGTCTGCGTGGCCTCCCCACAACCGCACAGTCCAATACTGATAGCTGATCTCTCGGGCGTCAAGAGACTCCAAACCAACTTTAATAGTCATTCTCTGTACAACACAGCTGATCGATAGCAACAAGCTCTGACAACTCTTGCTACTGACAGCCAAGGGAAAAATGATCCTGCTTTTTGTCGGCAGTATCGCTTGCTAGGGAAAATGGCTTTTGAGAAGTTTCACACAATTTTTGCATCAGCTGAAATGCCTTTATTTTTTTAATGAGAAGCTGAAGTTTCACAGGAATTACAGACTTTCTTTTACAAGAAAATAATTATCATGTACTATTTTATTATATTATATATAATGTGGGTGTATATATGTATTATTTATTAAATTTTCTATTTTTCTGGGTTTTCCTTTCCCCGCCTCCCCTCGTGGTTGAGTTTGCGTGGGTGGGTGAGGCTCTTATCAGCCATCTTTCTGTAGTTGCTTAATGCCCAGGAAATTTCTGTTACGGTGTAAGAGTCTTTTATCTGTTTAACCTTCACCTACCCCTTGCCTGGAGGCACTCACTCGATGCGAATGTTGTTTTATCCGGCGTGTTCTCTGATTTTTATCCAGCCCGATCAGAGATTTCTGAACATTTACCAAAGCTGGGGGGAAGTCTGGATGTAGAATTGTTTTAGCGATACCATGAAATTAGAGGGAAATGAAAGCTGCATCAGTTAACACGTTATCCCCTATAGATTTCCATACCATCAGGACAGCTGTCTGTGTTGAATGTGGCTATGTGGATGATCAGCACTTCCTGTTCGTGCTGTAAATCTGTTTGCGCCCCCCCAGTGCAGCCCCCGGGAGGGTGGGTGCAGCGCTTCTCCCTGGCCTTTCTCAGCCTTGATGATGCAAAATGTCCCAGGAATATTTTGCAAATCAAAAAGGCAACAGGGCTGCTGCTGGAGAAGAACGCCTGGGCTTGGGGGTAGCGGCAAGGGGGTGACTCCGGCACGGATCTCACGGTACCGGCCAGGCTGTGACTCCCCATGTGCTGGATCACTGCTGGCAGATGGATTGTCCTTCAAGAGCCCCTCTTGCCAGGAGCTCCCAGCTACTCTGTGCCCCGGTGCTCGTTGGCACAGCTACCTGCTGTCCCAGGGGCAGCTGACAGTTACTCAGGGGTCAAGAAAACCCCCATCTCAAAACAGGAATAAAATATCCTGTGCAACCTGCTGTAGGTGACCCTGCTCTGGCAGGGGCTTGGACTGGATGATCTCCAGAGGGCCCTTCCAACCCTGACCGTTCTGTGATTCTGTGACCAGTTAGATGATCCAACAGCCAAAAAGGTCAGACATCTAAAATTTACATATAAATAAACACCAGCATTTTGAGTGCTGTGTGAACAAAATACGCTAGTTACTGGGTGTTCCTCTTGTGACTGTAGTTGTGGAGCTTAATTTAGGGATAAGAAGAAACGTTGCCCTGCAATGTTGGATAGGAAGAGTAGGCTGTGTGAGGACGCGGGTGTGATGGAGAGGTGGAGGGAGCACTGAGGAGCTGTGCTGAAACCTAAGACTACGCAGGTTAACTTGTTTGATTATCCTGTGTGTTTTGGGCTTGGTTTGTGTTTTGGGGTTTTTGGGGGGTTTTGGTGGTTGGGGTTTTTTTTGTATGGCTTGCTAAGGAATAAATCTCACTTTACCCTGCTCTGTCTATCCCTCCTCTCTGCACACAGCTCACTTTTGAACCGGTTTTGGAGCCAGATCTGCCAGTGGAATTAGCAATGCCACTTTCCTAGCTGAGTTTTATGAAACGAGGCAGCTGGGCAGAGGCGGGAGAAGGGGAAAGAAACGTCAGAGTAAGTACGAAGGATCTTACAGTCCCCCCAGGAGCCCTCCCTGTGCAGCGGGGTGGGCAGTGCCCACAGGAGCCGGTGTTCCCAGGGCTCGGCTGCTGGTGGAGCAGCCTGCGGGCAGCGCTCGGTGTGTGTCCCTCGCACGGGGATGGGGGGAGAGACAGCCCCTGCGCTCGCAGGGGAGCCAGAGGAGCTGTGAGTTTCTTGGTTCAGAGAGCAAAGCTGTCACCGTTAGCAGAAAAGCTCGGGTGTTTAGTAGGAAGGATTTCACACGTGTGTGAAACAGTCAAACAACCTGTGTCAGCATTTTCGGATCGGAGGTGCTGCTGCTGTCTTCTCTCTGGAGTCAAGCGAAACTCAGAGTATTGAGTTCTTGGTGGTCTATACTGAATATAGAAACCTGAACGCTGATCGCGGCTAAAATACTAACCGGGCAATGAAAACCAAGGGACGTTTAGACAAAAAAATACAAAACAAAGCGTGTGTGTAACTCTAGTAGTAAAAGTTCACGGTGATCTCCAGGGAGGTGTTTGACATGGATGAGCCCAGTTTAATTTGTGTCTACCTGCTGTCTCTAAGCAATCTATTTAGTAAAAAGATTCATTAAGAAAGCATCTGTAGAAAAGATAACTTCTCTGCACAATCTCTGTTGTTTCATAGAGTGATCCTTCCAGCCCATGAACATGTTAAGATTAGTCTGTGGTTGTTAAACTGCCTCCCTTGATTTAACTGGGATTGCACACGTTTGGAGCGATGCAGAGTCACCTTTGCAGGACGGGGGCTCTGGCCGTGGGAATGGGTGAGGTGCAGCGCAAGCCGGGGAGGGGGGGTCAGCCAGACCTCCTCTTCGTGTCTCTGCAACAGGATTTGGGCTGAGATGGCAGTCACCAGTTCCTGTAATTAGCTCAGGGCTGCCACCTCTCTCCTGGGTACCAGGATCGACGGCTCACGCTGCCGCAGTCCATCAGCTTGGCTCTGGCTGGTGCTGCTCCCAGGCGTGGGACCAAGGCTTGGCGCTGTGGGAAGCACCAGCAGCTGTGGGTCTGTTTGGGTGCTTTTCCTCTAGTAAGGGATGGTAATCTCTCTTCAGTGTTCCAGGCAGCTTCACGAGAGAATTTATTTTTTTTTAAAAAAAAAAAAAAAAAAAAGGAGAAGGGAAAGAATTGTTCATGTCACGGGGAAGAAGTCGGGGAGTTCTGCAGGAGGCTGAGCACGAGCAGAGAAAGCAACGTACTCCCCCGAGCTGTTAGTGACAGTGAGTAGAGCTGATGGACGGCGTCATGGAAACTTTTTACTCCCAGGGAATTTCTCATGTAAAAACACCTACGGTTACTGCTACACTTCAAATCAATCCTTTACCATCATCATTAGTTTTCAAGTGAGAGTGAGTGATTTACTGTGTGTGCTTCCTAACAGCTTCCAAAAATGAATTAAAGCAGATGATTTGCTAGATTCAGAGAAAAAATTATCCACCTGCTATAATACCAGAAATGCAAAGATCACTGCAATGTGCCTGACTTAAGTGGGCTGATGGAGCTGGAGATGGTTGAGGAACTGGATGAGCTCTGATGCCCTCAGCTTGCTCTCTGTAGATCTCTGTTCACCCCCTGACCCCCTTCTTCTGAGCTTTTAGTCTCTGTCCCTGCGCAAGGGGCTACCCCAGCTCCTGCCCATTGTGTGCTGTGCATCACCTTGATGTTTTTTTCTTGTGAGCAACATTGCATTTTCTTAGCTTGCACAAGAAAATGTAGCCTAACGGGTGGTGAAAGGGGAAGGTTTCGTGATTCTGAAACCTTTCCCCTGCCAGATCATGAGTTTTCCCCTCGCTGGGTGTGGGACTACAGCTGGGACCAGCACACGGTCCTCCCCCTCCTGGTATGCGGGGAAGGGCTCGGGTGAAACCCAGCTCTGCATGGGAAGGATGTACCCTGTCTCCAGCCCAGTGGGGCAGTTGCACACATCAGCTTCCCTCTCCCAGGATCGCTGGGCGCAGTTGACGCTATTTACCAAAATCCCACATGTGCTGATTAAGAGAGAGCATACTTTCTGGTTTGGCCATTTCTGGGAACTTTTCAGACGAAGTACAACTAAGTGTGCTAAGAAACAAACCTGCTTCTGGAGCTCTAGGGACTAATTAGCACCAGAAGGAGGAAAGAAAAACAAATAAAATGATACTGTGTGAGGCATGAAGCATGAAGGAGTTATACGGCCCATTTTTAGTGGGTCAGGAAAAAGAAAGGAGAAAACTTTGCACAGAGCAGGTGACAGAAGAGAGGATCGATGGCTTTATAAAGCTTCTACTACTCTACTCCTCTGTTTTATCTAATGAATACTTTTCCTCTACAGAGATTAGACCCTGACAGCATCCTTGGCTGTCAGGGTCTAATCTTGTTGAGGAGCATATTAGCTTAACAAACGTGTGTTTCAGGGGATGCAAACTCGGGTCAGCAAGGGGGTCTCAGAGCAGTCGAACAGACGCAAGTGGTCACAGGAGGGTCTGTCTTCTACCATGCGAAGGATCTGGCATCCTCCCAGCTTCCATCCTCACAGGTGGAAACATGACCCCAAATCTGAACAGCATCTTTGGTCTCCACCTCACCTCAGCTCACAGCTTTCACTTGAGGGGCTGGGAGGGATCGAAGACTGGAAATGGCATGCAGGGCAGTTAAATCCCAGTTAAGGAAAAATAGTCCTGTTACTGGTGCCTGGGTACCAGTTCCTGGAGTTTCTAAGGGCAGAAAAGTAGGGTGGAAGCAAAAATGGGTACTCTTGGGCTGAATCAACAGTTGTATGGTGTAGTGAAGCATTTCACTTCTATTCTGTGTTGAATATAGTTAAAACCCACATTCTCCTGGCATGAGTTAAATCTTCACCAGAAAAAGAGGCGTTATTTATGGGCACCGTTCAGCAAGTACTGAAAGATCTCCGGGGGAGCTCCAATGCCTTCTCGAGCCACCTAAAGATGGGGTTTTCCATTCCCCTTTGGCATGGCAGCAAAGCCAAGGAGTTGCTGGTGAGCTGTACCAGGGCCCATTGCCAGCGCCGCAGAGCCCCGTCCCCCTTAGCCAGCAGCACGCTCGGCTCAGAGGGGTCTCTCGGTTGCTATTTGGACCTGTGGGAATTTGCTTATCTAACTTCCAAAAGTCCAGATTTGTCAATTACCTTTGCTCCTCATAGCCCTTTTTCCGCGCTTCCCTCTCATATGGTTTTCCAGTGATGTCACCGATACAATCCTTGTTTCCCCTCGTTATTTCTTTACTTCTTGCATACATTGAATCTGAGTAAACATAAGGATAACATTTTACTTACCTGTTTGTTCAGAAATATGTAGATGATGGGGTTGTAGACTGTGCTGCTTTTGGCAAGGATGGACGGGATGATGCTGGCTGCAGGGGTGATGAGACCGGGTTTCCCAAACGTAGCTATCAGTGCCACAGTCGCGTATGGCAGCCAGCAAAGGAGAAAGCAAATTACCATCACCACCACCATGATCAGGACGCGCTGCTCCCGGCTCCGACCCATCCCTTTATTGATGCCACTCACCTGGGTGGGAGAGAGGCACAAATCCACTATTAGCAGTGCTCATACTGGGAGCAGATGATGCACGGGAGCTCCTGGAGTGGCCACACTTGGGGCAGGGTTGGCAGTGTCATATTGAAATGTTGTTGGCTGGAGAAGAGCTGGCCAGTCAAAGTGGGCAGAGTTTGTATGTTATGCACCCAAAGTATGTAGATAACAGTTGGAATAGGGTCAGCGATAATGCTGTTCGTCTGGAACAGCCTTCTCCAGTTTCCTCTAAATCACAGCATTTGACGTGAGTTTCTTGGGCAGGAGGGAAGAAGGGGGAACCTGCCCTGGTCTAACTGGCTGTGGAGGACCCGGCGCTCCCAGAAGGATTGCTTGTCTGAGTCCTACCAGCAGTGATGCACCCAGCCAAGGATGAAATGCTCTGTACCCAGAGGCCACGGGGGCAGGAGAGGAGACAGGCAAGAACATGAAGAACAAGGGTTTGAGAGAACTTTCTCCCCTGAATTGGAAAAGTCAGCAGCTGAATTGCTGATTTGCAACAGGTTCTTCTGGATTTGGGGTTCACGCATACTCGTAAGTAAATTGTACTGTATATAAATACTGCTGTCTTATGCCTCACCCTTCTTTCCTAGTTTTCAGTGTGTTTTGAAAAATGGACCTTTTCCTGTGTGTTGTGTAACGCCTGCACTCCAAAGTGCTGCGGTAAGCACGAGAAACTAACTCTTACAAGCAGTTTTACGGGGATTCCAGCGGGATGTATTTGTGTGCTGCAAGTCACCTTGAGACTAATTAAAAAACCAAACCAAAACTGTTCAAAAAGTAGAACATATCTGTAATTGCCTGCTGAGGGAACTCTAATACCGAGTACTTTATAAATATACTGTTAATGTGCAAACGAAATCTTTTATGACACTTGTCTGTGATTTAACAGAAAAAAAAGTGGTATTTGCTACAAGGCAAATAAAGTTGTTAATCAAAATATTTCCATTAGTGAGAGGTGAATATTTCGCTCAGAGACACCCACAGGCATCAGGAGCTCAGATTTATTCACAGACATCTCAGACAGAAAGCTCACATTTATCTTCTTATATTTCATGGAGATGATTCTGTATGACATTTTCCCTGTGTTCAGATTTGTTTGAAAGTCTGCCCCAACTTGGTTTTAAATTTTACAAGATGCTCAGGCTGTGGGATGAAGTAGAAGCAGCTGGATTGGGGTACGTGGGTACAGGGATGGAAATGGAAGAAGAGTTGTATTTTGCATCATGTGTGCTTGATTTTTAGGCTCCTGAGAAGAGGCACTGAAAGGCATCGGCAGCTGGCTGCCAGGGTCCTTTATTCCCACAAAAAATCCCCATTTCTTTATGTCGTCCTGAAGCCCTCCTATTCACCATCCCATGCCAGGAGACACCTGGGGCAGGTGGCAGGTGATGCCTTGCAAGTGGTGTACCTTGAGGAAAACCAAAGCTCCTTTTTTTTCTATTGAATCATAGAATCATAGAATGGTTGGAGTCGGAAGGGACCTTAAAGCTCATCTTATTCCAACCCCCCACCCACTAGACCAGGTTGCTCAAAGCCCCATCCATCCTTGAACACTTCCGGGGATGGGGCATCCACAGCTTCTCTGGGCAATTTGTTCCACTGTCTCACCACCCTCAGAGTGAAAAATTTCTTCCTGATATCTAATCTAAATCTCCCCTCTTCCAGTCTGCAGCCATTACCCCTCGTCCTATCACTACATGCCCTTGATTTCTATTGATTTTAGAAATGGCAACCCAACTTTCCTCTTTCTTCAGGTAAGGTCAGAGAAGACAAATGTTTTCTGGATGTTTTCCAGATCAAAATCAGCCTGGTGTGAGGCTGGGCGTGAGAGGAGTACTCAAGATACTTCCTAGTTAATGACCTTCAGCAGAGCTCAGGCCACAGGGGAGCTGGTGTACTGCTTGGTCTCTACATCTCCCTCTGAATATCCTGATGCTGTGTGACACACCTAAATGGGGAGAAAAAGCTGCTTTTTGTCACTGGGTTGAACACTGAAATAAAGCTAGTGGGGTACTGCTGATGGTACACGTTCTACCAGTGCAACGTACCTGTCTCAGCCAAACTTATATCATGTAGTACTCTCTTCACTTTTTAAGTATTTTCTCCTTCTCTTAAAAAAAGAAAAGCTTGCAGTTTTCAAACTGATGCTGCCAGGGAGCGGCTTCGTGGGTAAGCAAGGAAAGGTTTTCATTTCCTTGCCAGCAGTAGGAAATGATTATTTTCATCCTTCGAGGCCAGCAAGTTTGAATATCCTCCCCCTTCTGAAATTCTCCTTGAAGCATTTTTGCTTTCAATTGCGAGGCTCCCCTTGTCACTCAAGGAAACCTGAGACCTTGATATTAATATTCAAGGCACATGCAAGAAAACTTTTGCAAAACTAAACAAACTCAGCAGCCTTGAAATGCTGCTGGCACATCATCAGCGGATGATCCACAACTCCAGGGCTGTGGATCAACTTCTGTAGATGGACAGGAGCAAAGAGCTGTGCGATGCTGACAAGTGACGCTGTGGGCTTTTACTTTAATTTTGCCTTGATAACTTGCAGGGAAAGTAAAACCACGCGTCTTAGCCCAGGTAGCTTGCCCGTAGTTGCTGGCCTGTAGAGGTTGGAAAGTCAGCCCAGGTTGTTTCTGGTTTAGGGCTAACAGCAGCGATGCTGCTGCAGGAATTTAGCGCAGAATTACCCTGGCAGTGCACTGAGCTGCTGTAAAGTGTCCTTCACTTCTGGTTTGGTGAAAAATCTAAATCTCAATCTGCAGTGCAAAAAATAAACTTAAACAATCTCATTATTTCAGTAGGTTTTGGTGCCGAAAACACCCACAGAAAATGTGCTTTTATAGCTTTATGTTTTCTTTTCTGAAAGTTGAGTCTCTGTTTCTCCGAAAAATGATCTTTTCAGTTTTCTAAAATTTATGATGCCTCTGTATCACTCATTCCCTATGTTGCACGTGTGGTCCAGTGTTCTGAGTTAGCAGGACTGGGGGGTTCATCTCCAGGGTAGCTGGAGGCCCTGGCGACATGTTGCTCGTACAGTGATGCTTTCACATGCTTCCCATCAGTGTTAATTTTTACATGGAAAACTAACGAAAAGATCAGGAATAGCTGGGAATCTCTGCAAACATCTGCCATACCCAGTTAAGGTCCTGACCACGTTTCTCCTGGGCTCTGTTCAGCCTTCGGTCCCCGCCATGGGCAGGCAGTAAAGGCTGATGCTGGGAACCCTTGCTGAGTAGTGAAAAGATGGTTTCCCAATGGGCTCGAGTCACATTCCGCGACAATTTACGTGTGCAGGAAGAAGGCTAATGTACTGGAAATGTTACTGTGCAGTCATTCTTGCATGTCAGCTGTCCATTTTGCCATAACAGTCTTCACTGTGTCCTTTCCAGCTAAAACTCAGCTGAAGCTTGATCACAAACACTGGGGCCAATGAAGTATTTAATCCCATACATTATATGGGCATTTCTATATGAGCTGATGGAATATGCCGTCTCTTAATGCAACCCATGACCCCGCAGGTTTGCTGGATGCAGCAGCAGTTTGTTGCGCTGCCTGTTTGCCTCTGCCCGGGACATTATAGACCATGATGTGCCTCTGCTATGTATTAACTTCTGCTATTAGACAGGATCCACGGTGGAGATGGCCATGGGTACAGGAGAAGGACAGTCCCTGTGCTGAGGTCTATCATTTAATAGCTAAGTTACTTTGCAATTTCTACTACAGAGAAGCACCTCTAGATGGTAATTCAGCCTGCAGAAGTGATTAATTTGCCTCTCTTCTTTTTTCATTTACCATGGGGAATTTACGCAGCCATCCACCCCGTGTAGGAGCAGTAATGCTCACAAATACAGCGTTTGTGTGGGATGGCACCGGGTGTCACGGACAGGAGAAGGACATGGATGAGAGACTAATGCAACAAACAATAAGAAGAGGTTTAAATAGAGGTCACTGTGGACACAGCAAATTCCTGGTTGATATTGCTGACACATACTGTGCAGAAAGAACAGAGTCATCACATTGCTAGGAAAGTAAAATATGCTTTTTCAGCAATGGATATGGAATTGCTCAGTAACATCCAGGACCGGAGAGCACAGCTGGGTATACCCAGGGCTGCCTGGGAGGTTTAGCCACAAATCTCCCACTGGGATTAGTTCCTGAATCCCCAGGATGATCTGAGAACCTCAGCTGAGTGATTATGTTTTCTCTTGGGTTTTTTTGTTGGTTATTTTTTGTGAAACCACCACTGCATTTAGAGTTTGGAGAGCTGACAAGGACACTGACAGGACTAGGAGGATGATCCTTGAGAAAAGTTGGAACAAAGGGAGATAGAGGAGAAACAACCTCAACCAAACCAGGTATGCGATGGCCTGAGCACAGCAGCTGAGGCCCCTGGCTTACGTGAGCAAAGCTGCTGTATTTCTCTAAAGCGAGCGGCACAGACACCCCTGAGCTGTGGCAGCAGCTGAACCACCTTCAGACATCACTGCCTGTGCATCAAGAAATAGTGCCCGAGAGCTATGAAATCAGATATACCCGGTTATGCTCTGCCCTGGTGAATTAATAGCTGCAGTTACTTGAATACATACTAGAGAACCAGACTATAACTTTATGAAGTTGCAAATAAATTGCATTGCCTGTACATTAAAGGTCAATCCAATTTCTTCTAGAGCGGATGTGAGACTCCCTGGTGGTCCCTGCACATCAGCTTATGCCCTACTTTTAAGAATTGATAAATGTAGGTAGTGGGTTTCAGTAGGGACGTTGGATGCTTCAGGGGAAACTCTCAACCCTTTGAAGAGTTACAGCGCTGTCCTCAGTTGATGCTCGTAACTCAGGTCAGATCTGTGGGCACACACACAAATACATCTGTGCGTTGCTTGGAAAGAGCTATGAGGTGCTTAAAGTGACATCAGGTGCATCCTGCGCACAAAGCAGGCTGCCAAGGGAGCCTGGCGAGCACGGACAGGAGGTCCAGA